TTCCATTAGCACTGTGCTTTGCTCACTGTCCTGAAGGACACGCTGGCTCCCAGGTCCAACGCGGCAGAGGCTTACCTGGCCAACAGCAGGTAGCGGCTGAGGACCCGGAGCAAGGCTCGGGTCCCCCCTCTGTGGAAGTGCAAGGCGGGGAGGGAGCCTCCAGCCTGGGTCACCAGGACCAGGTAGGCCCAGCTGAGGCCTGGCTTCGATCTGCGGATGGACTTGAGCTCCCCCAGGCTCACAGAGAAGGCCCAGGAGCTCCGGGGGCAGCTGGGCTCGGCACCTGGGGAAAGCAGTGGTTACTGGTGCAGTATGAGTGGAAAGGCCAACTCTCTCACAGCACAGTTCTCTCCACAGCACAGTCTTCGGAAGCCTTGGTGGAAGCCGCCCTCCACCTCTGAGTACTCTGGCATTTCATGAGAAGTAAAGCTGCCTTGCTGTGGAATAATCCTCTTGTACACTGTAAAGATCTGTCACTCAAACTGGTTTAATAAAATACTGATTGGCCAGTAGGCAGGCAGGAAGTGTAGGCAGAGCAACCAAAGGATGATGGGAAAGAGAAGGGCAGAGTCAGGAGTCACCAGCCAGATGCAGAGGGAGCAGGAAATGAACATGCCATGCTAATAAGTGTACCGCCATGTGTAAAAGCACAAATAGAAATATGGGTTAATTTAATGTAAAAATTAGCTAATAACAAGCCTGAGCTATTAGCTGAGAATTTATAACTCATATTCAGCCTCTGAGTCGGTTATTTGGGACCAGGCAGACAGAAAGGGAAACATCCGATTACACTGCCTAAGATTAGAAAGAAGCCCAGTGGACATGGCTGTCCCACAATATTCCAGAACCTTCCCAGGCCTTCCTCAGTTTGAAAACTATGTTCCTCTGTCCCTAGTCTTCTGGCTGTCTTACCTCTAATGCCCTCTTTGCTCCAGGCACTACTTGAGCCACACCAAAGGTTGGGGAGGCTGAGCATGGTGACATATATATACCTTTAATCTCAGTACTTGACAGGAAGAGGCAGGCAGGTCTCTGAATTCAAGGCCAGCAAAGGCTACACAGTGAGACCATGTCTCAGAAAAAAAAGTCACCCTGTGATCAGCTGCCTGTCATCTCTTCCACAACCCACCAGCCTAGAGACCGTTAGGAGAACTCATGGGTACACTAGAGCCAAGCGGGTCTTTCCTGGGCCAGAAAGGAAGCATCTGGAAGCCACCCTGACTGTGGGTGACAAAGCCGTTGGAACTATGATCACTAAGGCAGGATGTAGCCCACCAGACCACCGTGGCCCAGCTCCACCTACCTCTCCTGGGCTCTGCCAGGTGGGGCCGTGGCCGCACTGTGCTAATGACAGCCCAGTCAGGCTCATAGCCGGGGTCAAAGGTAGGTTCCTCCTCTGAGGTGCTGGGCTCGCCTCCACTTGAGTCCTTGGGAGAAGAAATAATGGAATGAAAAGCTATGGTCTTAAGGGTTTCCAGCTTGCAGTTTGAAAGCCCCAGTGAGGGCTGGAGAGATGGCTCAGTGGTTAAGAGCACTGGCTGCTCCTCCAGAGGTCCTGAGTTCAATTCCCAGCAGCCACATGGGGGCTCACAACATCTGTAATGAGATCTGGCGCCCTCTTCTGCCCTGAAGGGATACATGCAAACAGAACACTGTATACATAAAAAATAAATAAATCTTAAAAAAAGAAAAAAGAAAGCCCCAGTGAGAAAGCAGCCCCTCGGAACAAGGGGGGAAACAGGCAGGAGGGGCAGAAAACGTGCTTAGTGTCACCCATGGTGGCTGAGGAAGAGCCAGGCTCGACCAAACCTAGAATCATGCTCCACCTGAGGCCACAGCACCGCGAGTCCAGACTCCAGTGAGAAGGGACGGATCCCGGCCCTGTTCTCGGGACTCTGCACCCTTGCCAAGGCCCCGCTCATGTCTTTTTGACTTTTCCCTGTCAGTGAATGAAGAGCCTTAAGAGATGGGTACTGTCACTGTGACCAGCTGAGTCTACGGGGACACTGCTGACAGTCACGTGATGGACAGAAAGGGGCGCTGTCTCAAAGGACACTGTAGAGCAGGGAAGATGCATGATCTGAGTTCAGTCCACAGAACCACGAGGAAGAAGGACCAACTCTTCCAAGTAGGACAGACACGGACAAGTAAATAAAGCCAAAGACAGTTTAGTGGTTAACAGGGCTTGTTCCACAACACACAGACCTGAGTTTAGAGCTCAGCACCCGGTTTCCAGCATGTGTCTGCACCCACAGACAGTGCACACACATGTCCATGCACCCACACCACACCCACCCACCCACCACACAAACGAAACCTCTGGGCCAGTAAGCACTTATGCCAAACCTGAGTCCAACCCCTGGGACCCACTCAGTGGAAGGAGCGAAACTGCTTCTACAGGTTATCCTGACTTTCACACTCCCACGCATGGCAGACACACACAGGAAATTAGTAAATGTAATAAATAAACCTAACAGTAGATCAGAGGGAAAAGACAGCTGCCTCAGACCAAACCCAGGCCATACCCCTTAAGAAATGGGAACCAGACCGGGTGGTGATGGCGAACGCCTTTAATCCCAGCACTGGGGGGGGGGGGGGCAGAGGCAGGCGGATCTCTGTGAGTTCGAGGCCAGCCTGGTCTGCAGAGTGAGTTCCAGGGCAGCCAGGGCTACAGAGAAACCCTGTCTCGAAAAAAACAAAACAAAAAAAGAAAGAAAGAAATTGGAACCCAGTCCTTCACCCAACAGGGGTCCCCAAGCAGCCAAGAGGACAGGCCATCAGATCATTTCACAAACAAACATGCGCACAGGTCCCCGGGTACGCTGCCTTCCCCTTGAGTGGTGAAGAGAAGCGGGCGCCTACCTTCTTGGAGAAGAGGATCTGGGTCGAGTCTCCAGCCTCCTCCACCGGAGCCCAGTGCAGGAGGACGTCGCTGTCCTAAGGGACAGAGTCAAGTCCAGACTTAGTAAAGTCCCGAGCTGCCCTCAGCCGTCAACCCGAAGTTCCCAGAGGCCACCTCCATGCCGGCTCACCTTCTCCACCACTCGGATGACGCCCGCGATGAGCGAGTCCGGGTCCGGGTGCTTCCCGGCGCTGGTGTGCAGGTACACGCCTCCCTTCTCAAACACCACCTGGGGGCGGGCACGGGGAGAGCCAGGGTACAGGGCGCTGCGAGGGCGCCCCACCGGCGGGCCGTGCAGGGTGCCAGCCTCTTCGCTGGGGACGCGCTCGCTCACTCGGCTCTGCCTAGTCCCTGCACCGCGGCCGGGGAAGCGGACCACCGCGGGCCGGGGGAAGCGGACCACCGCGGGCCGGGGGAAGCGGACCACCGCGGCCGGGGGTCGCCCACGGACAAGCGAGGGAAAGAGTCCCGGATCTTACCCTGTAGCTGGATCCTTCCATAGCCACCGCGGAGGTTCCACTGCCCCGATCGCCTCCTTTTCCGGGTCAAGGCAGTGTCACATCCGGAGAAAACACTCCCTTCCAGGCCGGACAGTGGTAGCGCCCCTAAAGCTGTAGGGCTGCGCTGGGTGAAACCATCTATGTGAACGGGGTTGTGGGGGCACGAAGACCCAGGTCACGTGGTGAGGACAGAGCGGCTGGCGGGGGTCAGCAGACGGCGCAGGCGCAGAACCACATCCTCGGCACGAAGTAAACAAGTAGGCGGTGCCAACCACTCGTGATCGCTAGGGAACGCCTCTTCGGCTCTCTCCATGTCTTATACTGGCATCGAAGCCAGAATTGTGCCATTTTTCTCGAGGGCGAGCCGTCGCGGCTCTGTGGAAGCCATGTTAGTGCGGGGCCCTGCCATCTCTTTGCGGGGCGGGACGGCGAAGTGTTGGGAAAGCGGCACAGAGACGGGACAAGGTGAGCGGAGCCGTGCCGGAGGCGCTGAAGGGCGAGGGGCGAGGCCGTCGGCCCCTGGAGACGAAATCGCCCCACGTTCCTCGGTCACCGTGGAAGGAGGGCACCATTTTTAAGCCGGGCGAACCGAAGCAAGAACTAGTGCCGTGCTGAGTCTTTGCCAGCTCTGTGCCGAGGGGCGGGGTGGGGAGCGGGCGGGCGGCACGGAGCGGGTTCCGCCGCTTCGGTGCCGGGTGGACTCCGAGCGGGGACGCCAGGCCGCTGCCGTCGCCTGCGGTCGCGGGGCGTAGGCATGCAGCGGCATCTGCTGCTGGCGGATCGGACCGGCGGGCGCCCACCGCCTCGCCCACGAGCACGCCACCGTGGCCGCCGCCCACGGCCCGCAGGGGAAGCTCCCGCTTGTATTTGATCTGGGGCGTCCAGGGTAAGGGGGCGGGGTGCACACAATGGAGGCGGGGCAACTGCACGGAAGTGACGCAAGAGGCCGCCATGCCTTTTGAGGGCGGCGACGGCGCCCGGCCGGCCATGCTGGCTGCGGGCACGTGAGTGGAGGCGGCGTTGTGAGCTGGGCTTTGGGGAGGACCTGGCTTTCCCGGGGCTGAGGGGCAGTGGAGGGCGTGCGGCCGCGGGGAGGGCACGGCCTGCGTAGGTCGGGGGCAGCGATCGCCAGCGACGCTTGGCTGAGTGCAGAAAGGGCTAACGCTCAACCCCTCGGGTCTGCCCCGCGACGAACGCTGCACAAGCTTCGCCTCTGTGGTGCAGACGGGCTGGGACCTCACGCTGTCGGTCAGCCACGTCCACGCGGCTGTTTGGGGGGGGGGTCGCTGGTGGGTGAGGGGGCCTCGGGGCGGGACTTCCGGCCCTGTCCCCCCGGGGCGGGACTTCCTGTTTTCTTCCCAGCCGAGGGGCCTCTGTGCGCCGCGGGCGTGGTCCGCCCGGGGCCGCAGCCGCCGGTGGTGGGCTCCTCCTGGGCCCGCTCCTCCCGGGCGTCCCGTGCTGCAGCCGTTTTCTGCCTTGTCTCCCGTCACCCTGTCCTGGGAGGCCCGCACCTTCCCGCTGGGCAGCTCCCCCTGGCTGGCCTGCCCCTGAGTCCCACTTCATAGGAGGCCACAGGCCTAGGAGGTCCGAGTAAGTCGCCCTCCTTGGAGCCGCCCTTACGAGCCACTCAAACGGTTCCCACGCTGTTGCTGTGGCCATTCCGAGAACTAGTGCACAGGAGCTGGGTCCTGCCATCGTTTGCTCTCTTCTGTTCTCAGGGAATTGAGAACCCAGGCTAAAGGCATACAGGCTGTGCCATCGCACCAGTCACTTTCCTTGCCCTGAGCCTTAGCCTTATGTTTCCAGACTCCTCCATCAGCTGGGAAAGGTGTGGGATGTGTGTAGGAGTCGCTGGGCGCCTCCTCAAGCCGTGGGTAGGACTATCAGACCACCGCAGCTCATCCCCGTGTCTGGCCGGTGTCTGCAGCCTTCTCCTTCTCAGTGGAAAGATGGCATGAGAAATCTAGGCTCTTGAAACGGGCAGGGTGGAGCTCAGGATTGGCAGAGGGCTCCGGACACGGACTGCCCTTGTCAGTGGCCAGTTCGGCTGGTGGAACAGTCCAGATTCCGCCTTCCTGAGTTTGGAGCTTTAAGACTGTAACGTGGAGTGACCACTGCTGCTTCGTGTCGTAGGAAGTGGGAGATTGGCTAGGAATGGTGATCACCTTCTGGTCCAGCATGAGCAGTTCCCACCTCAAGTCAGGTGGCAGGCGACCAGTGTGGAGTTGAGCAGGCTGGCTTTTTTGAGTGTGAGTGACAGAAGAGCTTTCAAACTGTATTCAGACTTCAGATTCTGTTCTCTTTACTGTGGTCCTGGTGGGCGTGAATCCCTCCAGTGGTAGGGTGCACAATGCCTCCCAAGGAGGGTCCTCAGCTGCCCACACCCTCTGGGTAGTGGGGAAGACAGGCACAGCGGTCCATCATCACACTCCAGGTTTGAGTCGGTCCTGGTGGGGACCCAGATCCTTGCCCTCCTGGAGCTCCCTGTCGGATGGGCACACATCTCCAGGCTCTGCAGAGCCCTCAACAGCAGGGCAGAGGAAGTGTAACCGCCGAGGTGTGATTCCGAGCATCCTTAAAGTGGCAGTTAACAAGGCAGTTCCGCCTAGTTTATCTGATTATTTGGGTAAACTTAGAACCAGCAAAGAGATCAGTTACAGGATCCTGGAGAGGTGAGGTGCAGTCCAGTGTGGTTCTCTGGAGGACTCTGACTTGGTCTGCAATCCAGCATTCAGGATCACAAGGTAGCCAAGAGAGCCAGCACCTAGCCTCTCGAGTCGTAAAGAGTCTCAAGAGGCCACGCCCAGGGGCAGGTCATAGGCAGGTGGATCAGTTACCTGCTGCCTCACTAGGGGCAGTGCTTCAAGGTCAAAGCTGGAACAGCTACCCACTATACATCCTCCTTTGCCCAGAGCTCAGCCCCATCCTAAGAGAGTGACCCTGAAAGCCGGGGGCAGGAGGGTGGGGGTGCTGGAGGCTGGGGAGACCTGGAGAGGGTGTGGCTCCCTGACCAGATGAGGGTAAGGTTGGCAGTGACCTGAAGGCCAGTGAGCTGAGTGCGGGGTCCATCTGGTCCTGGAAACTCTGGGGGGCAGTTCCCCTGCAGTGGAAGAGGACCTGCTGGACCGAGTGAAGGATGGCACCCGGCAGTGGCCAGGGTTCTGTGCTAAAGAAACCTTGCAAATCACCCGTGGTTTTCGTTGAGACCAGTCTCTGTGTCCGAGGCTGACCTCAAAGCCTCTGAGTGCTGTGATTTCAGGTGTATGCTACCATGTGTGGCTCACATATGTATTAACGTCCTACACACCGTGGAAAAGGTGCGCATGAAATTCATGTAAGTCTTCAAAGGCTTTTATCAGGCTGGATGTGTGGTGCTTCACACCTCTAATTCCAGCGACTTGGGTAGTAGAGGAAGGAGGATTGCTAGGGGTACGTGTAAGTCCTGTCTTCAAAACTAGACAGGCCTTCGTGCGGCTGAGGGGGTGCGTGCCAGCGCTGGTGAAGTCTGGGTTCAGTTCCCAGCACCACGTAAACCAGGTCCGGTGGGGTGCACGCATAACCCCAGCACTCAGGAGCTGGACACATGAGAATCAGGACTTCAGAGTCACCTTTGTCCACAGAGTGAGTTTGTGGCCATCCTGAGCGCTTGAGAGCCTGTCTCAAAACATAGGGAGAACCCAAACTGAAATAAGCACAAACCAGCTGGCTACATTGCTCATGGCCGACACAGGCTTTGGAGTGCTCCTGTGTGGGACAGGCTGGGGTCAAGATGAAACCCAGGGCTGGAAATGACCAGTTCGGGCCCAGGGGAAGCAGGTTTGAGAAAGGGTGGAGCTCAGCTGGACAGGTGCATGCCTCGGAAGGGGAGTCCCGTTGGGACATGACCTTGGGGTGGGCAGAGGTGGTAACTGCACAGCCTCAGCCCCTCTGTCCTGCTCTGGCCCACAGGGCGCGGATGGCGTCTGGGCGGCCAGAGGAACTGTGGGAGGCCGTCGTGGGGGCCGCCGAGCGCTTCCGGGCCCGCACTGGCACAGAGCTGGTGTTGCTGACTGCAGCGCCGCCGCCGCCGCCCCGCCCAGGGCCCTGCGCCTATGCCGCCCATGGCCGCGGAGCCCTGGCAGAGGCCGCCCGCCGCTGCCTCCACGACATCGCACAGGCGCACAGAGCTGCCACCGCCACCCGACCTGGTCCCCCACCAGCACCACAGCCGCCCAGCCCTGCTCCTAGCCCTCAGCCTCGGCCAGTCCTGGTGAGGGAGGATGATGAAGAAGATGAGGACGAGCCCACTGAGACCGAGACTTCTGGGGAGCGGCTGGGCGGTAGCGATAATGGAGGTGAGCTGGCGGGGTTGGTGGGGTTGGTGCTGGAGCGGGGGTGCTGGTTGCTGGACACTTGTCCTAATGTATCCTCGGGCCAGCCTTCCCCAGCAGCCTCACGTGATAGTTATTAAACATAACGGTTTCCTTGAGGGCTGGTCTGGCCCAGGAACTGGAGCATGGCTCTGTGTGAGAGATGCAGGAAAGGAAGGGTAGGGGTGCTGCCCCATCCGTGGGAGGTGGAGAGGTTTGCCAGGAGCGGGGTGCCGCCACAGCTGAGGAAGCCGGGAGCGGGGAGCTTCCAGACAGTCTACATGGCGTGTTGAGCCTCGGGCAGCATTTCCCATGGCCCGTGGAGCCCCACTTTGGGGAAGTGGATCTAGAGTGGATCTGTTTGGAGAGAGTCGGGAAGCTGGATATTTCTCGGACTGTACGGTAACCACAGGGCTTTGAGGGTGAGTAGGAATTAACTCGTTTGCTATCATTGCCTATCACCTCATCCTGAGAAAACCAGCATGTCATGAAGGGGGTGGGCTCTGCAGCCAGGTGGTATGGCCGCAGGGTCTTGTCCCCACCAGACCATTTTTTAATTATTTTGGGTCACATTGTCCCAGGCAGATCCCTTTTTTTATATAAGATTTATTTATTTTATGTATATGGTGCTCTATCTGCATGTACACCTGCAGGCCGGAAGAGGGCATCAGATCCCATGATGGATGGCTGTGAGGCACCACGTGGGTGCTGGGAATTGAACTCAGGATCTTTGGGAAAGCTGCCAATGCTCTTAACTGCTGAGCCATCTCTCAGACCCCCTCCCCCAGGCAGATCTTAAGAGGTTCCATGTTTAAGCTCTCTGTGGGCACCTGATAGTGGAAAGGGCCGTGAGTGACCTGACAGGCTGGCCTGTCCCACCCACAGGACTCTTCATGATGGATGAGGATGCCACTCTCCAGGACCTGCCCCCCTTCTGCGAGTCGGACCCGGAGAGCACAGATGGTGAGGATCTGGGTTGTCCAAGCCCCAGGAGGCCAGGCCGAGGGGGGGGGGGGGACAGAAGCTGAAGCCTTCCTGTGTCACAGACGGCAGCTTGAGTGAGGAGACCCCCGCCGGCCCCCCAGCCTGCCCCAAGCCCCCGGCCGCAGCCCTGCCCACCCAGCAGTACGCCAAGTCCCTGCCCGTGTCGGTGCCAGTGTGGGCCTTCAAGGAGAAGAGGACAGAGGCGCGATCGTCAGATGAGGAAAACGGCCCGGTGAGGGGGACCAGACAGGTGGGATGGCCCGAGTGGCCTGCTGCAGGGAGCCCACCGCAGTTCAGGAGGAAGGACCCTTATCTGTCAAGTCATTTGGGGGGTCAGATAGGGAAACAGGCTCAAGGTCAAATTATTTCCCACGCTTCCCTTCCCCAGCGCCGTTCTGTGTGTGGTGCTCTGGGGCTGTGCTGGACCATCCTTCACGGAAAGCTCCCTGAGGCAGAGGGGAACAGGCACTGTGGGGGGACACATGGCTTCCCCCAGCTCCCCACGGCCAGGCGGGGACCTCGGAGGAGTGGGGGTCGGGACGGTCAGCTTGCTGGACAGTCCGGGCAGGAGGGCGGCTGGACTGGGCGCCTGCGCACTGAGCGCCTTCTCCCCGCACAGCCCTCCTCGCCAGATCTGGACCGGATCGCTGCTAGCATGCGGGCACTGGTGCTGCGGGAGGCCGAGGATACCCAGGTCTTTGGGGACCTGCCGCGGCCGCGGCTCAACACCAGCGACTTCCAGAAGCTGAAGCGGAAATACTGAGGAGCGGACAGACCGAGCGGGCCGAGGGCCGGAAAGGCCGCTGGCGGAGGCTCTCCCGTGGGTCTCCCCTCCTCTGCCCAGCCACAGGACTCTTCTTCCCGGGGCTGGCCGCTCCGGGGGGGGGCGAGGCCAGCTCCCGGACGCTCGGTGGGTCGGCTCCGAGCCTTGCCCGGCGACACAAGCTGCGCCGCCCGCGGAGCCCGGCTGCGGAGGCGGCTCCGCCCACGTCCGGAGAGTGGCAGCCGCCCTCCTGGAATCCCCCACCCGATTGGCCCTGGCCGCCTGGGGGCGTGGCCAAGCCCTCCCGACCCCAGCACTGGCCCGAGGCCTGAGTTTGTTACACTACAGCTGGTTTTTGTTTTTGTTTTGCCCTGGTCCTGACACTTGGATCCGGTTCCCCGCGGGGACAGTCCGGTCCTGCGCTGCGTCTGACGCCCCCATAGGTTACACCCCACAACAGCCTGTCCATCAAAGCCTGTCCTTTACCCAGGACGGTACCAGCTTCCTGTCCCCCGACCCAACAGGTGCCTTAAAGGGCCCTCTCCCACCCAAGGCAGGGCAGGGGGCCTCGCTCTCCGGCCCTGGCCCTGGGTGCGGGGGAGTGGGGTGGGGGCCGGGAGTCGGGAGGGGCGCTCTGAGAGATTAAAGTTTTACCTCTGACTGGCGAGCGCCTGGTGTGCTGTGTGGGTGCTGTGTGGGTGTCAGATAGCATGAAATGCGGGCAGAGACGGCATCCCCGCGGGGAACCTGGTTCTCGGGAGTGGGCGGGAACCTCCCATCTCCCACCTAGCGGGCAGGGCGGGCAGCTGCTCGGCCCCTTCACACTGGCTCTGAGTCTCTGGGGCACTTCCCATCTGCCCCACCGCCCGGCTTCAGCGCATTTGCCCCCGAGAACTCAACATCACGGCAGCAAAGGAAGAGTGTGCGGCGGCGGGTGACGGGCACCGAATACTAGGGACAAATCGGCTTCTTTCCGCTGTCAGAGGCGTGAAGAAGCCCGGCCCCGTGGCGCACGTCTGCCACCCGGCAACAGGGACGTGGATTTCGGAGGTGCAGGAATTAATGTCAACCTGGACTTCTAGAGACCCTGCCTTAAAGCCAGGCACGCCCTTATTCCCAGAACTCAGGAGGCAGAGGCAGGCGGGTTTCTGAGTTTGAGGCCAGCCTGGGCTACAGAGAGTTCCAGAACAGCCAGGGCTACACAGAGAAACGCCCTGTCAAAAAACAAAAAAATGCAAAAAACCCCACCAATGGCCAGGTGTGGTTATTTTGTTTTTCAGGACAGGATTCCTGTGTGTACCCAGCTGTCCAGGAGCTTGTGCTGTAGCCCAGGCTGACCCTGAACTCAGAGGTCTGCCTGCCTCTGCCTCCCGGGTGCTGGGACTAAGGTGTGTGCCACCACCGCCTGGTTGCTACAGTATTTGGAAGGCAGAGGCAGGCAGATCTCTGCAACTTCGAGACCAGCTAGGGTGTTGTGGTGGACTAACATCCAAGCCAAATAATTCACCTGGGCTGAAAGATAAGCCCAGTTGACAGCAGAATTCGCTCACGGAAGGAGGAAGCAAGGAGGGTCATGGGACCTTCACCTTGAGGGCCCTGCTGCTCCTCACGAGCAGCTCTGTTCAGTTCCGCCCTAAAGGGGCTAGAGGATACGGGAGAAGTAGGGGGAAGGCTCTGTCCTGTGCGGCATGGGAAAGGTGTCATGCCTGCCGGGTAGAGAAAGGCTACCCAGTGTGGCCTCGCAGGTAGCACCACACCCCGAGTCAGCACCTCCTCACGATGCTCTGTAAGCCCAGTACACTCGCTGGTTCCCCCAGACTGACCTCTGGTGGAATCGTATTTCGGTTTATCTTTCAGACTTTAGGAGGAGGGCAGGCATTGTTTAGGTCTTCACTTGGAAAGAAACTTTTTTAGAGGTAGGGACAGGGTCTCACTGTAGCCCAGGCTGGCCTCAAACCCAGAGATCCGCCTGCTTCTGCCTCCCGAGTGCTGGGCTTAAACAGGTGTGCCACCGCCCGGGAAGGAATGGGGAGGGGGATCGAGACAGGGCTTCTCTGTGTAGCCCAGGCTGTCCTGGATCTCGCTCCATAGCCCAGGCTGGCCTCGAACTCAGAGATCCGCCTGCCTCTGCCTCCCGAGTGCGCCCCCACCGCCCGGCCCAGGAAGGAATTTTAACAAGAATATATCCTGAGACCTGTCTCAGCAAACAAACTGAAACCAGACTCAGTAACTCCCGCGAGGGATCTAGTGCAAACCGACCCGGACGCCCCCATCGGCACCGGCTCCTAAAGCCGCGTGCGGGTCAGCGGCGGCGCATGCGCTGTGGGAGGAGCCAAGCCTTCCGCCACTTCTTTCCCACAACAGTGGCGAGTTTTGGAATGAATTCGGGTGACCCCAACTACGCCATCCTCACTAGCTACGTAGGACACTGCTGTGGTCGCTTGGGAAACGTTGAGCCCGCCCGTGGGTGAGGGCGGCATTTCCGGGGCGGCTCTAGCGGGAAGGCGGGACTTCCGGCAGCGGACCGAAGCTAGCTGCGGCGAGCACAGCGGGGACTCCTCTCCTTCGCCGCATCCCGGGATGTCACAGCTGGGATCCCGGGGCCGCCTGTGGCTGCAGAGCCCCGCCGGGGGACCACCCCCTATATTCCTGCCGGATGGCCAAGCCCTGGTCCTCGGTCGGGGGCCCCTGACCCGGGTGACGGACCGGAAGTGCTCCCGAAATCAAGGTGGGCGCGGGAGTGAAACTGCGGCCGCAAGAGCTGCAGGGAAGCTCGTCCTAACCAGGAGCTAGACGGGGCTTTCGGGGAGGGACGGGGCGGATCCGGGCGACTGTCACCGGGCGGAGGTGCTCCAGCAGAGACGGTTTCTCAGCAGGATGTATCGGGCCGTGCCCAAGACCTGGGTCTACTCGGTGTGTCTCATTAGAGCAAGCCGACCCTGCAGATACAGAATACCTCTCTGGGCAACCCCGGGTCTCTGGCGATCCCAGGGACTCGGGTCTCTCCAAGTGTAGGTCTCGGCCCTATTGAGGAGTGAACGAACTGCCTCGGGCCGAGGGTGACACACACCTGTCATCCAGACACTTGGGTGGGAAAGACATGCGAATCAGTTTCAGGCCAGCCACCAGGATGTGGCGAGTTCTAGGCTACTTTGGGTTACTTGAGGCCCTGTGTTGGGGGAGGGAGGAAAGTGCCTCTTCCTCCGAAGTGTAGTCTGTAGCTGGCCACGCCCCCTACGTGATATAAAGCCTGACTCCATCCCCTTACCCTCAGTGGAGCTGATTGCAGACCCTGAGACCCGGACAGTGGCAGTGAAACAGGTACCAGTGTCTCAGCAACGGGCAGCAAGGACTTGGGGGAGGGGTCGGGTGGGTTGCAGCCCTTCACAAGGCTAGTTAGCTATTTCCTTTCCCATCGTGCCAGGCTGGATGCCTGTCACCTCTCAAAGTTCTGATTGGTAGCACGAAGTGACGAGGTGGAAAGATTAAGGATCTAATTGGGAAATGGGGTATTGGACTTGGTGGGGAGGCGGGTGTTCCCTGAGGGGGTGGAGCCAACCCTAGCTCCTCCTTTCTCCACAGCTGGGCGTTAACCCATCAACTGTTGGGGTCCAGGAGTTGAAGCCAGGGTTGTCGGGCACTTTGAGTTTGGGGGACATCCTGTATCTGGTCAATGGCCTACACCCCCTGACCCTGTGTTGGGAAGAGATCAGCACATCGGGATCCCAGCCAGATACTCCACCGGGCACTCCTCCTGTGGATCCAGTGGACCAGGAGGATGCTGAGCCTCAGAAAAAGCAGATGCGGAAATCGTCCCCTGGCTGGGAGAGCTTCAAGAAGTTACTGGTGTTCACGGCGTCTGGGGTGAAGCCCCGGGGCAAGGTGCATTCACTGTCATTGTCACTGTGCCATTCAATCCCAAGGTTTGCTGAGCAGCCCTGGGATGGTCTTATCCAAGTCTCTGAGCCTCGGGCTGGAGAGATGACTCAGAGGTTAAGAGCACTGGCTGCTCTTCCAGAGGTCCTGAGTTCAATTCCCAGCACCCACATGGTGGCTCACAGCCATCTGTAATGAGATCTGGTGCCCTCTTCTGACTCACAGGCACACATGCAGGCACAACACTGTATACATAATAAAAAGTCTCTGAGCCTCAGCTCAGATTGTTGAGACCCCAGTGGTGGCCGCCACCACTAAGGTGCAGGATACCGATCAGGCCCTGTGATCAGTGATGACCAGACCTTTTGTGGATGTGTTTATGGACCACTCTGAAATGACGAGGCCACTGAAAATGTGGAGTGTAGTCCCTGGCTGGGCACCCAGCCAACAGTGAGTTTTGTTTTAAAAATTTACTCATTTTTTTCATGTGAGCCTGAATGACTTTATGTGTATCACATGTGTACAGGTGCCTGCAGAGGCCAGAGAGCACTGGGTTCTCTGGAGCTGGAGTCACAAGCAGTGGAGAGCCACCTCATGTGTGTGCTCTAACCACTGAGTCATCTCTCCAGCTCTTCCAACAAAGACCTTCCTTTGCTCTTTCTGAGCTGTAATGCTCCAAGGAGATGCTCAGGGAAGGGGGCTCAGGACGCGGGTCTCCGTTAAGGGCTGAGAGGGGAGCAGAGGACACAGGAGCAGGAAGGTTCAGGGCTGTCTTTACCTCAATCATGCGCTCTGGGACTTGGGTTCCCTGCTCCTAAGGGTGGCCCCAGGATCAAAGGGCTGGTGTCAGTCAGCCTGTGACGAAGGTCAGAGATAACAGTACTCCTGTCCCTGTTTTTGGTGATACCAGGTGGCTGCCTTTGACCTAGATGGGACTCTCATCACCACCCGCTCTGGAAAGGTCTTCCCCACTAGCCCTAGTGACTGGAGGTGAGGTGGGACATGGGAAGAGGCTGGGATGGGAGCCGAGTTCTCTAGGCTACAAGACACTTGCTGCTTCCCTTGGACCTTAGGATTCTGTACCCAGAGATTCCAAAGAAGCTACAGGAGCTGGATGCTGAGGGCTACAAGGTATGTAGATGTATGTATGGATATTTTCTGGATGCCGAGAGATGAGGTATGAGGTATGATGTGTGTTGTGTATGCACGGATACATGCATGTTTGTGTAGCGAGTTCAGGCTGAGCTGTGGCCAGGGGCTCCAGTGTGTCCCTGTCTATCCCCAGCTGGTAATCTTCACCAATCAAATGGGCATTGGACGAGGGAAGCTGTCAGCAGAGGTGTTCAAGGCCAAGGTGGAGGCTGTGTTGGAGAAGCTGGGGGTCCCGTTTCAGGTACAGCCAGAAGGGACGCTGAGGGGCTGTGTGGACAGGGACCCAGAGGGAAGGCGTGGAATGGAGGCCCTTGCTGGGGTTATGCCGACAGTGCCTGGAGACCCCAGCACTGACGACAGTGTGACCTGGCCGCCTCCACAGGTGCTGGTGGCAACGCATGCAGGTCTAAACCGGAAGCCAGTGAGCGGCATGTGGGAGCACCTTCAAGAGCAGGTGAGCTTCCTCCCTGTGTGGCTGTCCCCGCCCTCAGGCTCTGCTGCCCTTGCTCCTCTACCCTCCTTGCCATCTGTCAATCCCAGCTTCGGACTTGGGAGACCGGCTCTCTAAAGAGCAGAACTGCTGAGAAGTTGCAGGTCAAGGGTCTGCATGCAGGGAAAGACTGTACATGCCTTGAGGTGCAGGGGACCAACTCCAGCTGCCTGAGAGGTCTGAAGCAGTTAGGTGAGCAGAGATGCTCATGGCTGAAGGGAGAGCTTGGCAGGTATCAGGGACATGAGAAAGTGGCCCAAGGATGAGAGCACAGGGATCCAGAAAGGCAGGAAGAGCAGGGGGTCGGGGCTGCTGTGGGATGTACGCCCTCTGCAGGCCACTGGGGGAGCAGACGAGACACTCGGCAGCTAGGCCCTTGTGTATAGGGGGTCCAACCAGCCCCCCTGCTTTCCCTTATAGAGGGGCTTCTCGCTGCCTCTCTCTGCAGGCCAACGAGGGCATGCCCATTTCCGTCGATGACAGCATCTTCGTGGGAGGTAAGAGGAGCAGGCTTCTGGGGGCGTCGGGCACCTCTTCTGAGCTCAGTGGGGGACTTCCTTACAGACGCAGCAGGGCGCCCGGCCAACTGGGCCCCAGGGAGAAAGAAGAAGGACTTCTCCTGCGCAGACCGCCTGGTGAGCCTGCCAGCACCCGTCCCCCATTATCCCTGCCCGTGACCTCGCCCACACCCACCCCTGCTGCGCCTCTGATCCCTTCTGGCCATCTTTCCTCCTAGTTCGCCCTTAACATCGGCCTGCCCTTTGCCACTCCAGAGGAGTTCTTCCTCAAGTGGCCAGCAGCTGGCTTTGAGCTTCCAGCTTTCGACCCGGTGAGTGAGGCACAAAGGTCAAGGGTGAGAGGCCCCTGTTCGGCTCCCCCAGCTTATGCTTTTTGTTCCCCTGCCAGAGAACCGTCTCCAGCGCTGGGCCCCTCTACACACCCGAGTCCAGCTTCCTCCTCAGCCCCAACGCAGAAGTGGTGGTCACAGTCGGATACCCTGGGGGTGAGCGGCCACAGCCCGACCTCTGCCCCCTTTCAGTCATTTGGGTCCTAGACACTAGCTGATGGCCACACTGCCCCCACAGCCGGCAAGTCCACCTTCGTCCAGGAGCACCTGGTGCCAGCTGGATATGTCTATATCAACAGGGTGAGGCTGCACCCACCCTCCCTGAGCACTGTCCTGGGGTGGGGCTCCCCAAACCGGCTTGTGACTGTCCGGGCCCCACAGGACACACTGGGGTCGTGGCAGCGCTGTGTGAGCTCATGCCAAGCAGCACTGAGGCAGGGGAGGCACGTTGTGATTGACAACACCAACCCGGATGCCCCCGGTCGGGCCAGGTACTGGACCCCGGGGGGCGGGGCGGGGCGGGGCGGGCGGGCGGAGTGCTGGCTGCAGGGACGACCGCAGCGCCGGCTTCCTCCACAGGTACATCCAGTGTGCCAGAGATGCGGGCGTGCCCTGCCGCTGCTTCAACTTCTGTGCCACGCTGGAGCAGGCTCGCCACAACAACAGGGTGAGCCCCGCTCCAGGCCTCGCTCCGCTCCAGGCCTCGCCCTTCGCCTAAGCCCCACGGCCCCTGACCGCTGCGCCTCTTTTTGCAGTTCCGAGAGATGACCGACCCCTCGCATGCACCGGTGTCAGACATGGTCATGTTCAGCTACAGGTTCAGGGACTCCGGGGGACTGGAGGGTGCGTGAGGTGGGGGGGGAGGGGTGCAGAGCCTCACCCACACACATGTCCCACAGGAAGCAGTTTGAGCCCCCCACCCTGGCCGAGGGCTTCCTAGAGATCCTTCAGATCCCACTCCGACTCCGGCCACATCCGGACCCAGCGCTGCAGAGACTCTACTGCCAGTTCTTGGAGGGCTGAGCCCGTAATAAACACTACTGCCGCTCCTCTGTTCATGGCCGCCTTGCTGGGGTGTGGGAGGCACTGGCCGTGGCACTCGACACTGCACTCGGGCTTTCACGTGGGCTCCTGTGCACCTGCCACACCTGGCCTGGGGACGGGAGCAGCCAGGGCTATTTGGGGTGGAGGACTCAGCAACAGGTGTCAGGAGCCAGTGTGGGACACTGACCTGATGGGCGTTTGATCAGGTACAGTAGATTAAATGTATCGGAGGAAGGCTGTCATGTGGGTAATTAGCCTGACAGGCTACTACCTTCCCACCCAGAGACGGCCTAATGCTACACATCTCCCAGACTCAGCAGCTCTCATGTGGGGTGGACCCACACTGGGTGACCTCTGCATCCATCCATCTTGCACTGAGCATACAATCAGCAGGGAGGGACAGCGTGTGGGTTAAAAGGCTTTATTAGGGAAACATACAGGGGCAAGGACCATCCTTGGAGACCTCAGGACGCTGTCCTCCAGGCTGCTGGGCAGGTACAGTCCCCAGAAGCCCCTGCTCAGAAGCATCTGACCTGGGAGGCAGTAGGAAGGGGCGGCTTCTACTCGTGAGATGCTCCCTACCCCTAAGGCCCTGGCACCCATACCTTGCCAGGGACCCAGGTCCCAGAAGGCAGTGCCTCGTGGCAGCAGCTTCCCTAAAGCCAGGGCCACCCCGCTGCTTCCTGAAAAAACAAGCGCTGCTCACCAGTCTCCGTCGGGCCTCGTCTGGGACTGTGGCCCGCCCAGCCTGGGAGTCCACTAGCCACCCATCTGCGGAGACAGAAGCCAGGAGAGGTTCAGAAGGGGCACCCAGGGGCAGGGCCCGGGTCGCGTGCCCGGCAGAGCCACCTCACCCCTCGCTGCTGCTGCTCCTGCTCCAGGCTCCGCTGCAGGACCTGCTGCTGGTTGGCAATGACCCGCCGGATGCCGTTGACAAAGTTGCTCTGGTCGTGCGGGATGAGGCCAATGAAGATCTTCTTCTCAGAGGAGTACAGGAGCATCAGCACCCGCACCTCACAGGAAGCCTTATAGGAGAAGTGCACGCAGCCCGCCTGACGGCAGGCCCAAGTCAGCACGCTCATTTGCCCACTCCCCCAGCCACAAGCTGGCCCATCTGGGAACAGCTGGACCCAAGACTAATGGGTCCCTAAAAACAGGTCCCGGGGGGTCAAGGCCGCCAGGCATGTAGCCCACCGTGGGCAAGTCCTGTTCTTTACACTGGAGAAAAGGCCCACGAGACTCCTATAGACCCTGGCTGTTAACAGTGCCAGTAACCAAGGGCTCCCCACAGAGGAGCCAGCTCACGAGGTCCAGCTCAGGGATCCCCTGCTGCTGCTCACAGTGGGAACCTCAAGTTCCAGAGCTTCAGGCCTCCCAAGTTCCCCTGGAATTGTGTGCTGAGCTGAGAGCATGTAGTGGTTGGCAGCCCTCTAGCTAGGGGCCTGCTGATACAGTGTCTTCCTGTAATGACAAGCCTGGGCCTTCAGTAGAAGCCACCAGTCAGAGCCTGAGGGCTGCGGGGACCGCACATGCCAACAGGTGGCCCTGGTGCGGTTCCGGGCTGCAGGCCCTGACATAACAGCTTCCACAGGCAGCTGCATTAGCCTGTCTCCTTGGCTGCCGCCCTCCACTCACAAAGCCGTTGTCCATGATCCGGCAAAGGCTCTTCAGAGTCTCCATGTCCTTAGTGAAGTGGAACTGGACCAGGCGCGAGTTCCGGAACAGTGGCACAAGAGTGGTCTGTGGGAAGCCAAGGCCCACTTGGTGAAACCCCACTCTGTGGAAGCCGGGCAGCACCGCACCAGCCCGCCACAGGGTCTTCCGCCCGCCCCCAGCCTGGCATCCCCTGCACCTCACCAGCAACTGCTGTGGGATGAGCTGCATGAAGAGCTTCCGTGGCCACTGATCTGTCCTCCTGCCACAGCAGACAGCAGGTATCAACCCCGAGGTCCTCCCCCAGCGGCCTGCACTGCCATGTGCCCCCCCCCCGCCTCTCCCCCACTCACAGGATCTCCCCTTGGTTCACGTAGACGTGGGATGGCAGCCACCGCTTGGACCGGCTATTGGGCTCGGGCCTGGGCTTTGGGGCAGAGCGAGAGGGCACTTCAGGGGAGGGCAGAGGAGGACCACCAGCCCACACAGCCCCCGCAGCTCACCTCCTGCCACTCCATGACACCACTCCATGCCAAGAACTTGTTGTTGACGATCTGAACAGGTCCAGAGTGCACGCCTCCAGGACCCACGGCCTGTGGACAGGACACCAGTCTGCTGCCAGCAGCTCCGGCTCCTAATTCCCCACTAGCTGGCTGCAGCCCTGACCGCAATTCCAGCAGGCCGCAGACTGGTTCTGTGCTCACTGCCAACATTCTGTGCTCCCAAGTGACCTAAGACAAGTCTCAGGCCCTGGGTGGTGTGGAGGCCCACAGCTACCTTTAGCAGCTAGCAGGTGGACACCATGAACATCTGGCAGCCAGGTGCCAGGACACATTGTCACCCTCCAGAGACTGGGCCTCCTGCTCTGCAAAGGATTCTACACCCAGGACCCACCCCAGTGGTCTCCTGTACCCTTCAAAGCCTATAAAGCTACTTTTCCCACCAAGTCAAGCCCTGTCTGGATGCCTGGCCACTGCCTTTCCACAGCTCCCGATGCTCCCTACTTCTGCCTTCACATCACACTCCACACCAGTCAAATGTAGATGGTGAGCCAGCTGTGGAACCAGGACCAGGCTGCACTCAGCGGGCACACCTGTTTGCGAGTGGTGATGACCTGCCGTATGGCGTTGACAAAGCCGCTCTGGTCGTAGGGGATGAGGCCCATGAAGATCTTCTTCTTAGACGAGTACAGGAGCATCAGCACCCGCACCTCGCACGGGGAAATGTGGGGGAAGAGCATGCAGCCCGCCTGTGGGGACAGGGCTGCAGGTCAGGGGCCTGGCCCTCCACGTTCAATACCTGACCTGCTTCGACAGGCCAGAGTCACTAAAACACAGCTCAGTCGAGCCTTCCCAAGAGTAGGTGAATCACTCTTGGCTACCTCGTCAGCCCTGACGACTGACAGGCAGGGACAGTGGGGGCCAAGGACGTGTACGGCCGTGTCCCGCTTCTCTCCAGACCCCAGCCTTGCGGCTGGGTTAGCAGCAGGCGGCAGGGTGCTGGAGAGAAGACTCAGCACCGAGAACCAGCTGTTCTGGTCTGGACCGAGGTTTGGCCCCCAGTTCGCCATCTTCCACAGTCCCGTGGGGTCTGACGCCCTCTGCTGGTCTCTGCAGCACCAGGCGTACACACGACACACACATACCATTAAACAAACAAAACAAACAAAACCCTTACATTTTTAAAGAACAGGTAGTGGGCAGGCTGCTGTACCACCCAGGGCAGGCCCCACCTCCTCTTAGGACCCCAGCACCCCATCTGTAGGGCACAGCAACAGCACACACAGCTCTGGCCACACAACACTGAGGTGCCAGGTCCTCTTCAATGGGAGGACGGCCACCTGTAGGCCACCCCGTCCTGTGCCAGGATGGAGAACCTGTACCTCACCAGCCAGCCTTCTGGACCAATTCTCCAGATCCTGGGCCCAGCTCCAGGATACTATCCCAGAGCTGCTGCTGGTACAGGTTGTGGCCTCACATGTCCCAGTCTGTGGGTCCCAGGAAAAGGACACATCCTTGGAGGTGGCCAAGTAGGAGGGGCAGACCAGCCTAAGGCCGAGCTGGGGAAGAGGCTGGAGTCTAATCCTCTGCATGCATGGGCTGGTGACTTCCTCCGACCCTGTCCCGCCAACTGCTACAGTCCAGTGACCTCAGACTGGGTCCACAACAGTAGGGGCTGGCCACCAGATGACATGACCACCACCACCACCACCCCATACACACACACACACACACACACACACACACACACACACACACACACACCCCTGAGTAGCAAGGCATGCTGGACTCCACACACAGGCAGGAGATGAGGAGCACCGTACACTCTGGCCAACTCATAGGCTCATGTACCTGCTGCTTCACAGTACCACCTCACCAAGGTCCTGGATGACCATTTAAGAGGTACAGGAAGGAAGACTCCCATCACAGGACAGAACTAGGTCCCACCCCACTGCCCCCATCCCCACTCACGAAGCCGTTGCCCATGATGCGGCAGAGGCCCTTAAGCGAGTCACAGTCTCTGTTCGTGAAGTGGAACTGGGCCAGCTGAGAGTTTCGGAACAGGGGGCCCAGTGTGGTCTGTGGGTGATAAGGGGAGCCACTGATCATGGTGAGGCAAGTGTGGGGAGATCCTGGGGTCAAAGTTTGGCTCTGGGGGCAGTCCCCCTGGTCTCACCAGCAGCTGCTGTGGGATGAGCTGCATGATCAGCTTCTGGGGCCACTGGTCCGTCTCCCTGCAGGAGGAGTACGTCAGAAGCCATTCCCCGCATCCTAGGCTGCCCCGGGCTCTGCCCACTCCCGCACTCACAGGTTCTCGCCCTGGTTCACGTAGGCCTGGCAGGGCAGGGTGCGCTTCAGCTTTGCTGTGGAGTCCGAAAAGGGTCTACGCTTCTGCAGGTGGGAGGGTGGTTGAGGGCTCAGCAACGTGCCCGGGCTGTCCACACCCTCCACTGGCCCCGGGATCTGGGCCCAGCCAGGCTCACCTCCTGCCACTCCAGCACGCCACTCCAGGCCAGCAGTTTGTTGCTGAGCCGGTGCTCATTCACGGCAAGTCCCCCCAGAGAGAGCCCCGGTGAAGAGGGCCCAATGGGCCCCAGGGCCCCAAAGACTCGAGCACCTTCCTGCGGCAGAAGGGAGAATGCTGAGGTCATTCAAGGCTAGACCATTCCACTCTTCCCAGAGGGACATCCTCAGGTCCAGACTCCGTCCCTGGCACACACCACTCCAGGTCCCCCAATCCCTTGCCCTGAAGTCAAGACCTCAAAGCCACCATCCTGGCATCCTCACCCTTAGACCCATCTGTCAGAAAGCCGTGGACTGCGTCCGGGCCCCAGTGCTCAGAGCCACCCTAAGGCCACT